GACTACAACATCCAGAAGGAGTCCACCCTCCACCTGGTCCTACGCCTGAGGGGTGGTTTTTAAACTTTCTGCTTGCTTACAACTATAGAAGTAAGCTTCACTGCACTTTGTTTCAATAAAGCTGTTGGGATTCCCTATTGTCTTTGTGAATTGTTGTGTACAAAATATAAACTAGAGCCAGGAGGGTGGAATGAAAACTCATTTACAAAATGGGGCAAACACTTAAAGCGGAAGGTGGTGAGATTTAAGATGCTTTGCCAATGCTTAGCAAAGGAAGCTAGTCATGAATGCTAAGTAGATCATGACTCAAAATTGTGATTAAATGTAAAATAACAAGGCTTGAAGGCCTTTGCTTCAGCCCCAGGGACTTAAGATGATATATACGTTTTCTAGCGTATTGGAAAAAGGATAGGAAGTGGAGACTACCTGGTACTACTGTTCATTTTGGGGGCTTGAGTGACTTAATGCAGTTAAGGGTAAAGAATCTTAGGTTTCCTTTACATTTGGAAAAGTTCCAGCCTTTCCTATAATGGGTTTGTTCAAATGTCACTAGATCAGGGGTCTCCAACCTTGGGGACCACCAAACTCAATTTTAAATCCCAAAAACTCTGCAGGAAAATTCCCTGCCCTGTTTTCCTACCATCAATCATTCGTCACCATCTCAGTTCTCACAGAGGGAGACCTACCTACCTGCTTCATGTGAGGAAAGTAGCAGAAGTCTCTCTCCCCCAAAACCGCCAGAAATGAGTCTGTGAGGCTTGCAGCCCAAAGCCAAAGAAAGCAGCAGCAGCCCTGTAGCCAGGCGTGTGGGGTGGGTGGGGCAAATCCCCCCCCACCTCACTGGTTAGCAATGCAAGCTAAGCAAGCCTTGTGTTCCCGCACAGCCTGGATTAATTTGGGAGGGACATTTCTCTGCGGACCACCAGTGGTCTCCAGCCCACTGGTTGGCAACGATTGCATGAGACGACACATACCGAGTAACCTCTATGGAGATTACCTAGTCTGTGATGTGTATTCTGTTAAAACTAGACCGTTCACCTTTGGCCAGCACCCCTGGCCACGTTAGCTAATGAGTTTATTAGATGATACAAGGGGGAATTGTGCAGACTGATTCTTTGGAGAGGAACCACAATCCCTGCTGGACAGCCACCGCTCTGATGGCGCATCTTCCCAAGGTGGGAGATGGCGCCTGGAGGAACCCTGCACACCGTGCCTGGAAGTGCAGAGGGAGCCACAATGGGACCAAAGGCCCTTTTCCCTCCTGTTTCCAACTCATTCCCCTTTTTCGTCACCTCTCATTTTCCTTCCTATTCCTTCTTTCCTCCTTCCCTTCCATCCCCAACTCCTTTCTTCCTCTTGTTCCCAACTCCTTCCTGTTCATTCTTTCCTCCCTCCCTGTTCACCTTTCCTATCTTCCTCCTCCCATCCATTCCCAACTCCTTCCTTCCTTCCTCATCCCCAACTCCCTTTCTCACTCCTTCCTTCCTTCCTCCCCATTCACTTTTCTTTCCTACCTTCCC